GTTACTAAACTTATCATGATCAATAAGTTATACTCTTGGACCAGCTTTTCAAGACTACTCAAATGTCTCCGGGTCAGCATCTCCCTTGATGTCTTAGTTCATATTCTAGCTTTGCCAGTGAGCATGTTTGATACCCACTGGTGCACACACGCGGAGTCCGTGAAGAAGTGTAACTCCGTTGCGCCCTACTGTAATGCTAAATTGACGCACTTCAGAATAGCATCCAATTCTGATAAATTGATATGTTGGGTGTTCTTCACAGGTCACAGCCAACATGCGTCTTCTACAACACTTCCGTTAACCTCCAACAAAACCCCTGTGGTGAGAGAATTTGCATCGACGCATACCTCATAAGCGTGTCCGCTTGTGCACCACTTACCATGTGCAAGGTCATTCTGGCATATTCTTTCCGCTATGTCCTCAGTCATGTTCTTAAGGGGAGCATCTGTCACTTCGTCGTCCCAACCAGACATGATCGATACTGTCCTGCGTTTTACAAATGATGCAGCAACATGAAGCCACCCACACACAGGAACGTGACCCACCAGTTTTCCACACCACAAGAAGACGTTACGTCATGTCAGGACCTCAGGAACTGATGGAATGCCATTTTCACGTTTCCACTTAAGCGTGTTGTTATCTTCCGCGACATGCAAACCCAGCACACATGTGCCATCCCGTAACTGCTCCGGATCCTTGCAGGTCAAACCAAACGCAGCCAAGTGCTCTTTCACGTGAGCTGCTGAAATCATGCTCTCATCAACATAAATATCATCAATATATGATGAGGTTGCCCGTCGAACTGACTCGTCTTTCACCAACGTGGCATCCACAATGGCCTTCATTATGGCTGGTGCAACATTCAACCTGAAACCCATTCAGGTCAAGCAATATCTTCACCCCTTGAAGATTACAGTTTGAAAGGGCCAAAGTGACTTGTGGATATGTACTTGTAAATAGGCCTGCTGTAGGTCAAGGATAGCGACATCCGGTTCTTTTTTTATGCCACTCCTTCAGTTTCTGTGTGCACACGTCAGCATTGGCTGTGTGTGTCAAGACACTCATTCAGCTCTTGATAGTCTAATACTGGCTGCACTTTATTTTTGTTTTTTTGCACCACCGCCATCAACGGAATTAAACCCTTTAGAGGACCAAGTTCCTTTTCAGGATAAGGTTGCAACCAGCCATTATCAAGCCAGGTCTGCAGCTCACAGTCGTATTCCTCCTTGACTCCCATTGGTATTGGGTACTCAGGCATCCGATTTCTCAAACTCTCCGGTGATTGACCATCAGACCACTTCCATGATGCAACCCATATCTTCCGGTTTGGGTTGAATTCGGCACAGAAATCAGGTTCTTCTATTTTAATAGTGGTGTAACAGACTATCCCACGCTTGGGAAACCGTACATTGCCACACTGTGTTATTTGGAGTCCGCCCAATTTTTTAATGGTGTTGAATCCAAGCAACAAGTCAAAACCCAGTAGCTCTCCATCCACTACCAAGACATCGATTTTGAGGGGGTTTGCGTTGTCCACGTCAAGCTTAATACTTCCAACTCCGCAACATTTGAGAGTATTTCCGTTTACGGTGAGTATGTTCACCTCCGTCACCCACCAGGATTGACAGGCTGACTTACTCACGAGTGTCTGTGAGCAGCCAGTGTCCACCAGTGCCACTCTCTTAATTCCGTTCATGTAAATACCCAAGACAGGTAGCGCTTCATTCATAACTCACTTATGGAAGAGACCGGCGCTGACGTCTTGTCCCCTTCTTTTCCCTGGACACAATGAAGCAATGTGGCCTACTTCTTGACACCGGAAGCAATGCATTGTTGTGCGTGACCTGCGTGGCTGACGGGCATCTTCTCGTTGAACTGGGCAGTCCCTGGCAAGGTGATTCCACCCAGAGCATTGATAACATCGCATACTCTCCCGACGTTTAACATTTGGATGTTTATCAGCTCCGCCTGGTGAAATGGTAGCTGCAACCATTTCCTCAGTTGCAATTTGATCTTTCATTATGGCCCAAGCTCAGTCCAACAGTTGGTTTGTATTCATGTCTTCCAACCTGGAAGAGGCGTACAGTAGTTGCTTGACATGTGCTGGTAACCCTGCTATGAACCCACATGCTATCCTTGCTCTGATATCCCGCCAAATAGACCAGCTAGCTTCTTCAAGTCGGCTAGAAACACGTTGACGGACTCACCTGGGCGCAGTCGGTGTTCCACGAATTGCTCGTAAGCCAAGAAACAATCCGGTGCAAAGGCAATCTTCAGGGCTCATTTTATCTACTCAACATCTGATTTTTGTTCCAAGTTTAACTGCTGGTAAACAGCAAATGCTCCACCCATCAACCTCAAAGGAAGAACACATTCAACCTTTTTAATTCCACACAGGTCGCAAACAAGTTCTGCCTTCTCAATCCATTCAATAACTGCTTGTCCAGTCACTGAACCATCAAACTCTGGTATCAACTTGATGTCAAATGTCTTGTTTGTCATAGTGCTGAAATAGCTTGTAGGTGATCTGGGATTGCAAAGGAAATGTTTGTTGCAGATTATTTCCACGTCACAAAGAATAAATCACTAAGTTCAGACTCGAACATCGGGAACAGAAAGAAAATGCCTAAAATTCGATTTGCAAGTACTATTTCACAAATACCAATGCACGCCACCAGTCAGAAAAATAACTCACTTTCCAACAGCCGTGGCAGCCAAAATAGCCGACTTCTTCCTTTTCCCCCGATTCGAGAACACCAACTGCTTTTATCAGCCGAACATTTTTTTTCCATTCGTCAACAGCTGGGAGAGGATGTTCAGTAATTTGCATATCAAAATACTTTTATAGAGATTCCTGCGACAGACTTGTTTTTTAATTCAAATAACTGAATAGGTTATTTCATCAGAAAATTTTGTGGAAATATTACTTTGAGGGTTTCTTTCAAACCCCTTTTTGATATCTTGTGTGTACTTTTTAATTTAGGGTGGTAGGTGTTCATTATTTTTTTACAATTATATAAAGAAAAATTCCTGAAGATATTATTTCAGTAAAAAATCTATGAAATATCTTGTGAACATATGGAAAATTCATCTTGATTCTTATGAAAAATAATTCAATAAAAAGAATTGACGATTGCATAATTTGATAAAACTCATTATTTTCTTTCAGAATGAAATGAAGAAGTTTCCATTTAATATTTATTTTACAAAAAAATGATTGGTAATTCATTTTCAAATTCATCATTTGTTGTTCATCACAAGAGATTCTTTTATAGAGACATGTTTGAAGAATTGAAAAAATGTAAAGTTTAATGCCATTTTGCAGTGTGAACCTTTTTTAAGAATTTTGTTTCATTTTTTTTCCTTTTTTGTATCTGTTAGATCATTTTTGTATGTATGTACAAAAGGGAAATAATTCAGATTTCTCAGCTAGGACTACTAAATTTCATCAAAGTATAGAATAAAATATTTGTTGTTGTTAAAGACTATAATAATTTTATGGATAAAATAAAAATAAAGATATCACTTGGATGCCAATGCATATTTAAGAAAAAAGTGAAATCTACCAATTTTGCCTATTTTTTGTTAGTAGCAACTCCTTTATTTTAATATATTTTTTAAAATCGGTATTATTTTAAAAAATTACATTGGCTGCAATTATATGGCATGAAAATAATAAAAAATAAAAGCAATGATTTCTGAAAGGTATCATTTATGTATAAAAAAATAAAATTATTCTTTCTACTAAGTTTAAAAAAGCATATAGAATAAAAATTGTAATCTTAAATTATTGGTTAAAGAAAATTTATATTTAAACATAAACTTGATTATTGTAATGCTGGTGTTCCGTATTTCTTTAGTTTTTATTTTTTTGCACGCTTTTTAAGACAGGTGTGTCATTGTACAGTTTTTGTTTTTAACCTTTAACCCCACAGGCGCGTAAATAACTGTTATTTTTATTATCTTTTAAGTAGAAAGTAAACATTACTTTTAAAATCCAGTTAATTCATCCTCAAATTTATCAAATAACTTCAAAACGTACTTCTCGGACAAATACTGAATTTTTAAGTGATTTTTTAAAAATTTGTATTTACATTTTTTCTTCTATCATGGTGGTTCGATGAGTGACAAGAAAACGTAACAATGTTTTAAAAATTCCTAAAAAAAACTTTAATTACAATTACTATATCATACGTAAATAAATTAATTTTTCTTTTAATACGGATTAACTTTTTAAAACTTAAATTTAACTTAAAAGAACGCATTTTATTCAGTTTTTAAAATGCGTTTTTCGTTTTTTCAGAAAGTCCTTGGTGGTAAGTTTTAAAAGGAGGAAAGTGTAATTTCTTCTTGCACTTAAATTCCTCCCCCTTTTCAAGATATGACTATGCTTCAATTTCAATTTAAGAGCTTTTTTTAGTTTCATGAAGTCATGAAATTCTATGAAGTTTTCGATTATATTTTTTTTTTCCTTTTACAATCATCGATGGATAGTCGTTTGTTTTTGTTTTATTTTATTTTTTTTTGCAAAGCAGATATCAATATTTTTGTTTGGGTATATGAACTTTATCAAAAAAGTTAAAAATGTGTAAAATTCTTAATGCAGTGGGGGTTAGTGATTATTTTCTTTGTCATTTTTTATGTTTTCTAAACGGAAACCTAAGGCGCAAGCGTGCGATAAAAAAAGACTGGGCCGGCTCGAACAAGTGATTAATTTACAACTGGAAAAACAAACTAATACTTTTCATTTGATAAATATTAAACATTAATTTTTTATTTACCTAGGACATATAAAGATTGTTTCATTTTAAAATGCTTTTTTTTTATTTTTAATTTTACTGATCGTTTTTCGATCTTATTGTTTTTTTTTCTCTTCGTAAATTGTGTCAGTCTCAGGTGAGCGACAAAAAAGAAACAAAACAACAACAAAGAGAACAATAGCTTCTCTAATTAAACAATGAATAAAACATGAAACAATTAATTAAAAAAAAAGGAATTACCTGGCACCAGATGCCTGAAATAAGTCGGCCCAATACTCAGGGTTGTAAAATTCTGTGGTAAACATTGGCCCAAAATCAGGGTAGGTGAAACCTGGGAAAAAGTTTTGGGCCATAAATTTAACACAGTCTGAATCATTTTTGACGCGCCAGTCCCACCAAAACCATTCCGATCGGAAACTTGGCACAGAAAATACACCCCAGTGGATAAAAATACCTATTTTAGCCTCGTCATACCATTTTGGAATTGGTCGAGTATCTAAAGAATCCCAGGAAGGTTTAAACTGACCTAAAGAAGTTGCCAAAACAGGAAACAAAACTAATAAACACCCAGAAGTAGACACCGCCATTGTTTCTCACGTGAATTCACGAGTATTCAACTCAAAGTGATAACAGCCATTTCTATAAGGGCATTTCTAATTTTTTTTTTTTTTTTTTTGTTATCTTGATTGGCGTACTTCGTTCTGGTGCATTGGAGCAATCGTTATCGATCTAGTCATGTAGACTATTACTAATGTAGTAAGTTAGATCTCTTAATTAATCCTACTTATGGCTCTGTGTCAGACTAAGCTAAATTTCATTTCATGTAAAAATGCCCTTATACATTTTTGTGGGATTTCTGTTACTAAATTAATTTATCTTCATAATTTTTACATTTTGTTTTCCATTTCTCTTTCTCTATGTTAATGAGATTCTTTGTTCTTTAATTCAAGAGGGGAAAAAAGAACCAGAAGACAACTGAAAATTTTCCTTTAATAATGACTGCATATTAACTATTTGGTTGGAGGGTGTCTACTTTATAGAATCAGACTTCTACATTTGTTTAAAAACCCAATAAAAGTGGCCCAGAGTGAAAATTATCTCAGATCAATCCAAGTAGCCCAACAACCCATTAAAATCGGCTCCAGACGAGAAGTAACTAAAAACACTTTCTGATTGGCTAATAAACAAAAACCCATAATTCCATGCATTCTCAACTACGTACACATTATATCGGTTTAGTCTGTATCCTAAGCAGATGCAAAATTTGTTCCAAATTTCTTGGAGCCTCCCACGTGACTTGAAATATCAATAAATACAAAACATCATTCGACTTTGACAGTGAGTCTTATGAATTTTCTCAGCTCAACACACAAATCCATGTTACATATTTTACCAGGCTTAAAGTTAAATTTACTTAACATTTCCACAGCTTGCAAAGTACACTCACTCAACTAAACTCAACAGAAAACATCAAGTGACACATTCTATCAAAGTGAGACAACTTCATACACAGAACAGTAAGTTGAGTACAATATTACAAAATTCAACACCAAGAACAGTTTAATTTTCATACAAACACAAAAATACCTTATCAAACTTACCCATTTTTATACACACAATTTCTCAACTCTTAATCTTTCATATAATATCTTCATAAACACTTCAATCCACACAAAAAAAAAAAAAACTTTGAAGCAATTTAAACAACTCTCAACATACAATTTTATACTTTCTATTGGTTATATAAAAAGAATATTTATTGTTGAACCAAAATATTGTTTTATATTATTATTTCTCTTATTGTTTGCTTGCTTTTTGTTACATTTGTGAAGTTGAAAAAAGTAGTGGGTTAATCGCATTACCATCAACCTTTTTAAGATTGGTAAACCAGTCTTGTTGGTGGAATTAACCCCACTACAACTTATAGTGAAATAAAAAACTCAAGGAAAAAAAAAGAAGAATATTCACTACACACTTAAAACCATAATAACACTTACACTTACTACACACTTAAAAACATAATAACCTGTTGGATGTTTATTTTCCATCAATGCCAGAATATAAAAATTTATAATAAAAAAGATATGAAAAATATAAATTATATAAAAGATTAATAAAAAGATGAATATAAAAAATAATGATACAATAGATTAGGTTTGTTTATTGCAGTTTCTTTTTAACAGAGTGTTTAAAAATAATTATTAAAAAAAGCCAGATGGTTAGTTAATAAAAATGGCTTGAATAAATTTGATATGTAAAACTTTGTATATATGAGGCTGAGATTTGATGTTGTAAATATTGACAAAATGAAGCCTAACAGTTTATGAAAAAGATTCATGTAAAATATGGTTTTCAAATTTGTAAAAAGGAGTTCAATTCAGCTCAAAACACACTTAAATAAAATTGGCAATGAGGTGTGGTTTAAAGAAATACATTCTGTGGTTTTTTAACCAGTGGTTTTAACTGGGAGCCAATTCATGGCTGTTTAAGAAGTCTGGCTTGCTAGACTGAGAAGGAGGTTGGCTAGCTGCTGGGAGGAAAAAAGCAAAAGAGTATTGGCTTGGGTAAAAGTTGCTAGCAGCTGTTAGGAGAGCAAAAGGCTGAAGGGTTTTGGCATTCACAAGGATGGCACCAACGACAATGAAAAGGAAGAAGAACAAAGAACTGAAAATCAACAACAACAACACCAACAACAAACAAAAAGCTGAAAGAAAAGAAAAGAAGATTCACAAAATTAGAGTTATTAACCTTGATTTTGAACTTTTATTAAAAAAATGAGATTTATCACAATATTGAATTTTAGATGAAAAATGAATTATTGTTTAAGTTACCTAGCGACACTTGTGAATTTTCCATCCTTCTCAAAGTTTTTGACTATTGAATTACTTTTGGATGTATTTTTCAATGAGAACTGACATCCGTTGAATGCATGTCGTCTGAATTTTTTTTTTTTTTTTAATGTTAACGGCAAAAAAATTCTTACGGCATTTTTTATTTTTTTTTTTTTTTCCTATTTGTAAATTTAAAGATTTTCGGGGGTGTTCAGATTAGGATACTTTTTAGTTTTTATTTAACTACGATTTGAAATATTCTCATTTTTAATTTTTATTATACTATATTTTTTTTAATGAACAGTTAAATGTATTAGAATCCCTTATATTATGTAGGATTATTTTTACAACAAGTATAAGTATGTATATTAGGTTACATTTTTTTTTTTTTTTTTAAGTAAAATTTATAACAATGACGGCAAAAATAGTTACTTAATTTACTGATTTAGTAAACTTTTATTTTTTATATATATAAACCTAGTAATATATTGTTTCTCATGTAAGTACAAAGGACATGGGTCATTCAAAAGCTTACATCTTCTGGCATTTCATATTAATTTTATTTTACTATAGGTGTTTTATTGGATTAAGTGCGTGTAGTACTAAGTAAAAGAAGTTTAGGTTAGAATTCATTTTATTTAACTACAATTTTAATTACAACTTTAAAATATTTTCATTGTTATTTTTAATAGACTATATTACTTTATAACAGAAGGAAATGTATTTGAAATTACTTATAGTAAGTAAAATTATTTTTCCATATCAAAGTATATGTATATTAGGATTTTTAAACTTTTATATTTAAATATTATTTAAGTAATATTTATGGCACTTACTGGAAAAATAGCTAATTCATTTCTCAGATTTAGTAAACTTTATTTATTAATTAATTTATTTATTTATTTTAAATATATATAAGTAATAAAGTTTCATATGTATGTACAAAGGACATGGGTCGTTCACAGGCCTACATCATCTAGCTTTTCATTATAATTTCATTTTTCAGTAGGTGTTTTATTGGATTCATTTAAGTGCCGGTAGTACTTATTTTTAGAGGTGTTTAGGTTAGCATACATTTTATTTAACTGCAATTTTTAAAAAATGCTTAGGTTAGAATTTGTTTTAACTACAATTTTAAATACAACTTTAAAATATTTTCACTGTTATTCCAATTGACTTCTTTTTTTTATAAAGAAAAAACAAGTAAATGTAATATAATTACTACCTGATTGCCGCCTTTTTTTTTTAAATTTATTTTTATTTTTAAATTTTTAAATATTATTTAAGGAAAATTTTTGACAATGACGGCATATAATAGCTATTTCATTTCTCTGATTCAGTAAATTTTTATTTTTTATAAACTTAGTAATATATAGTTTCTCGTGTATGCACAAAGGACATGGGTCGTTTAATGACCTACATATTCTAGCTTTTCTTATTAACTTCCATTTTACTGTAGGTGTTTTATTTGATTCTTTTAGATGCCAGAAGTATTTTGAGAGAGATGTCTGATTTTTATATTTATTTATTCTAAATGAAGTTTGATGTTGGTTGAATCTTTTTTTTGAATTCATGGCTAGTGCAACCTATATATATTTTTATGTTTTCAGGACTTTCAATCGAAGAGATATTGCATTGGTATACTAATGATTCAGTGCAACATTTATTTTGTAGAGGGCAATTATGAGGGTTTCTACAGTTACATAGTTTTTGTTTATTTCATCTGTTTTTTTATCTTTATTTTCCATTGTTCAAATTCTTTTTTGGTTTTGGTATAAGTGTTTATTTAAGATATTAGCATTATGGTTCTTAATGATTTTTTCTAAGTTTTCTGTACAGCTATAACTCAATTTTAGTGTGTTTTTATTGAAAATAGTACTTAGTTTACTTTCACTAGGAAAATGCTTGATTATTAATGCAAGGAATTTATGTCCTAATTTGTTCTTTACCATTTGGTTGTATGTGGGAGTATACCAAATAATTTTTCTACATCTGTTTTTTCTATGCTTTCCATTTTCATTTTTTATATAAGTTAGTTTTGGGTTTTTGTAGCCACTCTCTTTTAGAGCCTTATTATAGGAAATGATATGCTCATTGAAAATCTTGTCATTTGCTGAATTTGTACTAATTTGTTTGCTGATAGATAACGGTATATGTTTAATTATAGATGGGGGGGGTGATTTGATTTAGGGTGAATATATAAAGGATTGGTGTTGGGTTTTTTATAAGGTGTGTATGTATTTTTATTTAGATCTAATGTTATATCTAGGAAGTCCACTTTTTTTAATTTAGTACTAACCATAATTTTTAAGCCCATGCTTTTAAATTCTTTATATAATAACTTTCTAATTCTATCTATTTTGAAGTTTGTTGAGTTTCTAATAACCATAAGTCCATCGTCTCTGTACAAACCAATGTCATTTGTATTAATATCATAGTGCGCTGTAAGGTTGTATAATATAAAAAGACCAATG